TTTTAGACTGGTACCCGTTCGCCATCGTTCACTCCGGCAAGTATCCTTCGCTAACACTAACTTTAGTTACTGAGGCTAATTAGCTAACTATCTTTCGCTAACTGGACTATCCACACCGCTAGTGTCGACCGGGTACCAGTCTAAGCTATGGTTCGGAGCGGGCAATGTTGTACATGCCACAGCGCCATCTCTTGGATGTTTTTAAGTAAATATGGGGATTTTCATAAAAATAATGCGTTTTTTTTCCTCGCGTATCTTTCCTTAGAGTTTTCATCGTCTTTGCAATGCTTTCGTAGATTTTTCTGGCTTTTTCTGCGTGATTATTATTTTGCGCAGGCCACTCATTTTGGAAATCCTCCAACATTTTTACTTCTTCCTTTAGTCAAGTTAGTCCATGTTTCACTGTTATTAGGAAGGAAGGTAAAACTGTGCATTCGTTAAATTTCAATCTTGCTTCTATAGTATGATTTCCATCATTTTGCTCTTCTGCCATGATAATATTTCCTTATCATGAACCTACATTTTTCAGTTCGGACTGTTATCATAAGCGTTATAACCTCCTATATCATTAATTAAATCCCCTAGTATGAATATTTGGTGCATTTTTTGATTACTTGGTTGCCTATTAATATCTCCTTCTCTATCCGTTCTTTGTTGGTGAATTTTATAACCATTGTATTTTGTTTTGTTCATATTAAATTCTAATCTTTTGATTCAGCCTAATCTGGAGCATGACTGAGCGATTTTGTTACTGTTTTATAATCTTCAATTCTAGAATATCGTCCATATATAATCATTGTCATCTTCTAAAACTACAGACCATCCACCTGACCCGCTGTGGAGACGTGCGCCGGGCCCTCGAATTTCGGCCACGGTCCTCCAACTGCGGACAGCGCTTCATACTTGACCATCCCCGCGGTCGCGTGCCGCATATCCTGCGGAACTGCGCGTCTCATCCGCGCCAGCGCTTAGGATCAACAGCAAAGCTGTGCCACGCAATCTTGTATCCTGTCTCTCTGCTTATATTTGCTCCCTTGCATCTGCGTACGTTTGTGCGCGTGCATGATCACGCATGTGCGTGTGTGAAACAAAGAGACAGTGAGAGAGAGAGAGGGGAGATAGAGGGAGAGAGAGAGAGAGAGAGAGAGAGAAGAGAGAGGGGGGGGGGACAATTGAGAGAGGAGAGAGATGAGAAGCAGAGGAGAGAAAGAGAGAGAGAGAGAGAGAGAGAGAGATAGGAGAGAGAGAGAGAGAGAGGAGAGAGAGAGAGAAGAGAGAGAGAGAGAGAGAGGAGGGGGAGAATGAGAGAGAGAGAGAGAGGAGAGAGAGAGAGAAAGAGAGGAGAGAGAAGAGAGAGCGAGAGAGAGAGAGAGAGCGAGAGAGAGAGAGAGAGAGAGAGAGAGAAGAGAGAGGAGAGAGGAGAGAGAGAGAGAGAGAGAGAGAGAGAGAGAGAGAGAGAGAGAGAGAGAGAGAGAGAGAGAGAGAGTTTGTGTGCGTGCGAGACAGAGAGTGCGTGCTCGCGTGTGCGTGTGCGTAAACATAGCATATTGGGCTAAAATACCGTGAAGCTGTATATATTTCCAATGCAATACCTGAATACCATACCCTGGCTGGTCGGTGATTGTAATCGGTGATGGTTGTGAACTGTTACTTCTGACTTGCTTATCATCATATATGAGTGGGGGATATAGTTGTAACGGTTGAGTGAAGGACTTGTGCTGTCGTTATGTAGGCTGGCAATCCTGTGACATTCGTTCTCACTGAGCCAGCCAGTCGTTCCATGAACATGGACAAGGGTCAAGCGGCGCCTATACAGTTTGATATCACATTACTCCCTGATTCATCGACGAGGTATACCAGAATAATTAACATAGTTAATTAAGAAGATTTCTACTTCACATAATCATCATACGGTCAAATTTACAAACCTCTTTATATTCGCATTCACACTACGAGCTTTTCTATATTATTTATTTATTATTAATTTACATCGTTATTACTATAACGAATGCGTGTGAGCGGCAACAGCATTACCTTTATGCTTTTAGATATGAAAAAAATACTGTTGCATTTTATCAACAGTCCATAATAGAAAATTTCCTATTGGAAAATTTTCTATATTCTTATATAGAATATATTATATTATAGAATATTATTATATTATAGAATTTATTATATTCTCTTTCTATATTCTTATTAGAAAACTTTTCTAATAGAACAATTTCTATTCTTCAAATAGGGAAATGTTTATTATGGACCCTTGATTTTATCATGCACGCTGAGACAAGCAAAACGAACACGCAGCGTCCTTCTACTACGGCAATGAATAGAATCGAGATGTCTTAGTTTATTGCCCGCTAGTTAATTTATCCCTGTCGCGGATGCACCAGTTGTGACGTCACAGGCATTCTCACACGCACTGCATCTAAACCATAGAAATTAACAAATATAATAGAGACACTATATGTATGCGTGCGTGCGTGCGTACATGCGTGCGTACATGCATGCGTACGTGCGTGCGTGCATGCGTACATGCATGCGTGCGTGCGTGGGTGCGTGCGTGCATGCATGCGTGGGTGCGTGCATGCGTGCATGCATGCTTGCATGCGTGCGTACATGCATGCGTGCGTGCGTGCGTGCGTGCGTGCATGCGTACATGCATGCGTGCGTGCGTGCGTGCGTGCGTGCGTGCGTGCGTGCGTGCGTGCGTGCGTACGTGCGTGCGTGCGTGCGTGTGTGAGTACATGCGTGCGTGCGTGCGTACGTGCGTGCGTGCATGCGTGCGTGCATGCGTGTGTGCGTGCGTGCATGCGTACGTGCGTGACTGTGTGCGTGCGTTCGTGTGAATCAATGACGCTCCTATAATAGGCTGAAGGTTAGAGCTACGTCGATGATATCGGACACGGTGGCCATCAGCATCTGTGACATATCGTTCACCGCCGGAATCAACATCGCCTACCTGCCGCCCAGGGACGCAATGATCTACACGTACACAGATACCACGTCGACACTGGGTAAGAATTAATACTGCAGTGACAAACACTACTAGTTGATTGGGGGGTTTTTCTTCGTTCATCAAGTTTACATCGAACGATAGGTTCGCGCAATTAATTCGTTCCAAAAAAAAACTTCCAGTGATTAATTAATTAGATTAATTAAGTAATTAGATTAATTCTAGTTAACCTCGATCATCGATCGATTTTATTCTCACATTGCAACATCGTTTCTTGGAAGCGATATTACATTGAACGTAGGTTTTTTTTTAAACATAGTATACCTAGGAACGAATGTCAATTTTTAATTACTAGAACTCACTGCTTTATTTCAACTATTATTTCCTAATGTCTTATTCGAATAGATGTTTTATTTTGAAGACATATCTGCAAGACTATTTCAATATAATGTCTTTGCGGAGATGATTCTTTGATCTTGGTTCTATGTCCATATTTTATCAGTTGTTCGCGCCGACGTGAGCTTTACAGGGCATTTGTCGATTGCCAGTTAAGTTCCCTAGTATACAAGCATCGCCTACATGCACGAGGAAATATGTCTCGGGTTAAGCGTCTATACGAGGTCTTAACTCGGGTTAAGCCTTAACCCGGGTTAAGCCTTAACGTGGGTTAGCTTAACCCCGCGCGATGAGGGGGGTTAAGCTAATCTGGGTTAAGCTTAACCCGAGTTAAGACTCGTGTAGACGCACGCGAAATCATCAACTCGACTTAAGCAGTAGTTATCAGTAGACTTTGTGTAGACGACACGTGTTTCTTAACTCGGGTTAAGTGTTAACTCGGGTTAGCTTAACTCGGGTTAGCTTAACTCGGGTTAAGACAAACTCCATGTAGACGATGCGTGTTTCTTAACTCGGGTTAGCTTAACTCGGGTTAAGACAAACTCCATGTAGACGATGCGTGTTTTTTAACTCGGGTTAAGTGTTAACTCGGGTTAGCTTAACTCTGGTTAAGGTAACTTCGTGTAGACGAGGCTACAATCTTGATTTTCCCATTGCAGGATCAGGCAACAGCGAGGTAGTGGTGGAATTAACCCGCATCACGAACACTGGGAATTATCCATCAGTAGTGGACCCAGAGTTCAATGTCATATCTGGCACGGTCAGCGTTGTGGTGAGTCAGTGTGTACGGTCATGGTAAAGCCGGCGTGTGCACGTGCAGGGTTACAATTAAATTGACTACGTCACGAATTTTCTATGGTGTATATTTGTAAAAATTTTGTTGCATTTTTTTTTACATGAAAAGTAAGTACTAATGGCACTAAATGTTTCCTCAAATTCTTACCTGATAAGATTGTTTTTCGACTAGTTAAAAATCCAACAAATCTGGGCGAGTTGATATTATGTTTATCACAACATTAAATGCTTGCTATGGGCTATGTAGGGTATGAGTCAGACTCATGACGAGTGTTTGTTCACAATCGAACGGAATAGCAAAATAGCAAGTATAATGCAGCAATTTAACCATGAAAAGTGAACAGAATCACTTACAATTTATGAAAAAATGGACATCATTTTTTTTAACTTTTACTATTACTTACTTACTACTTACTTAAAAGTAAGTTAAGGTTGCGGTCAGAGTTAGGGTTAGGGCTATGGTTAACATGATGGTTAGGGTTAGAGTTTATAAGGTTAGGGTCGGAGTTAGGGTTAGGGCTAGTGTTAATATTATGGTTAGGGGTAGAGTTAAGATTGTCGTCGGAGTTAGTGTTTGGGGTTAGAATTGTTCAGTGACGTGCTCAGTAGAATGACTACTGTATGCGCTCTATATATCGCAGTGGTTTAATTTTCGCGAATTTCGCGAACGCGTTCCCGACCGCGAAAATAACAACACGCGAATAATTCATTCCGAATAATACCTACAGCATAATTCATAATTCACCGACTGCGAAATTAATCACTCGCGAAATTGTCCGTCAGGTCTGAATTCGCGAAAATATCTGTACGCGAAAAAAATACGTGTGGTTTGGTTGCAGGCCATAGATGGTCTCTCGCAGTCCACGTCGGTACTGATTGAGGTTTACTACGATACTGCCACCGCCTATGGTGGCATGAACTCTGAAACCATCGAGATCACAACCACGGCCAATGTCTACACGCCATCTCTCTCCGTGAGCGACTGCCTATATTGCAATAATTTAAGTGGTGCACTATTAGTTAAATTGTTAATTAGTTAAACTGTTAATTAAATTAAATTGTATTATAGTAAACTATATAATATTATGGTATATATATTATATCTTATATTACTAGTTATATTATATTATAATTACACTATGACTTATGCAAAATGCTAACGTTTGTCTCATGTTTTGCTGCCGGAAGCCGACCGCCGCAACACAATGGTTTACTTCAGCAGGCACGTGACTGTTCACCTTCCTTGGAGAACACCATTGTTGAGACTGGACTATAAGACAACGAGCGGTATGTATGACACTTAGAAACCTGGGCGTTGTTGGTTACGTGACCATGTATGCTGTTATCCCTGCCGTTGTGCGTATTGGCGGTATTGACGTTCAAAGTGACGGATCCCCGTCTCTCGTTTGTGTGTTGCAATTATAATCACAAATGCTAAGGCATTTTGATAATAATTACAATTATAAATATAATATATATAAATCATAAAAAATAATTTAATTATTTCGTAAAGCATAATGTGTGTGCGTTAAATGTTGACGCCATTCAATTTGTCTCGTAGGTGTTTTGAGACACAATCTCTTCATGTTAGATAACCGCGTTCCATTGCAACGATGACACTGTTTTTTTGATAAGTTATGTGGTTCCAATTCATTGTGACACGTGTTTGTCACGCTTACGTGTTGTGTTGGCAGCGTGATGGGTTTCATTGCAACATGACACTGTTGGTCAGTTACGCGTTTCATTACCTTGTGACACTGTTTGTCAGCGTTACGTGTTTCATTGTCAAGTTACGGCGTTCCTCTTTCACGGCAACGCTGATAGGCATTATCATTCAAGCTCGCGAACCCAGTTTCATTGCTTACGGACGCGCTTCATTCCAATATGGCGCGTCAACGGTCTATGCGCTCACGATGTACGCGCATCGTTGTCACCGTCACATTTATTTGCTCACGTCACGCGCATCGTTGTCACGTCACACTTTACTGTGCCTCACGTGACGCACATCGTTGTCAGCTCACACTTTATGCGCTCACGCGTCGACGGCACATCGTTGGCACGTCACACTTATGCGCTCACGCTGACGCACACGTCGTTGTCACGGTCACACTTTATGCGATCACGCTGAGCACATCGTTGTCACGTCACGCTCTTTAAGTGCTCACGCTCACTTTTTATGTGGCTCACGTCACGTTTCATGCGCCGTCCCACCGTCACGCTCATGCGCTCACGGTAGGCCGCGCGCGCAGCGTACCGTCGTCGACGCGATAATCCGGGACTACGTTCCGATGCTTGGCACGAGTCACGGCGACGCCACGATGCAGGCTGTGCTCGGCTGCGCGCTGCCGTGCGCGTCGGAGCAAACTTGCCATGCCACTGAAGCCGGTCGACTAATCGCCGAAATCAACGCTGCCGGCACAACGCACGACGAATCGGTGAGTGAGCGACCCGGGGCGGGTAGGCCGTGCATAAGACAGCGGGGCCGGGGTCTAACAGTGGGTGGGTGTGGGTTAGGTGTGAGTTAGGGCGGTGTAACATGGGTGGGTGTGGGTTAGGGTTGTGTAAGATGGGTGGGTGTGGGTTACAGGCCGTGTAAGATGGGTGGGTGTGAGTTACAGGCTATGTAACATGGATGAGTGTGAGTTACAGGCCGTGTAAGATGGGTGGGGGTGAGTTACAGGCTATGTAACATGGATGAGTGTGAGTTACAGGCCGTGTAAGATGGGTGGGGGTGAGTTAGAGGCGATGTAAGATGGGTGGGTGTGGGTTAGGGTGGTGTAAGATGGGTGGGTGTGCGTTACAGGCTATGTAACATGGATGAGTGTGAGTTACAGGCCGTGTAAGATGGGTGGGTGTGAGTTACAGGCGGTGTAACATGGGTCGGTGTGGGTTACATGCGGTGTAAAATTCACATACTGACAGTGTAAAATTGCGATGTGTTGCAGTGTTTCAGTTACTTGATAGGTGTGTGTGTTTTTTACATTTATTTATCCTAACCCAATTTTTTGTGCTAGGCAATAAACACCGAACGTACATCACAACAGCGTTAACTTTTGACACTGTATATCAGTGCGACTGGTAGGCTGCTGTCTCTATCTCTCTTTCTCTCTTTCTCTCTCTCTCTTTCTTTGTCTTCCATCACCCCTTTCTCGTTCTTTCTTTCTTTCTTTCTTTCTTTCTTTCTTTCTTCCCCTCTCCGTCTTTGTTTTACTGTCGGTTCTCTCTTCCTCTAAGCGATGAATGCGTCATCATGGTATGTGTTTCATTATATCGCAGTACGATCAGTGGCATCATAGACATGGCGACGATCGCTCTTGGCACCTGCGCCAACGTCGGAGATGCTAGCGTCGCGTACACTAATGGAGAAAACAACGTAGAGATAAAGCTTGCCTTCAAGGTGCGAAATCGTAGCCTTTAGAACTATCCTTAGCGTGGTGGCACCCCACTTCGTGTCACTAGCCACGTGCATGCCATGAGGGTGCCACGTGTACGGTATCGGGGGGTGCCTGCCATGCACAGCGGTAGTATAGGGGTAGCAATGGTTAGTAACATGGCATAACAATTGTTTAGACGTAATCGTAATACTGGTATATTGCTGTTGTTTCTAATTACGATCCCAAATACCTGTTAGCCTAACGAGCGGACTTGCGTTGATTCCAGCTCGCGAAAGATTCGGTTCTTGACACAATCAGCAAGGTGTCTACCGGAATACAGTACAGTGAGACGAATCTGTGGGTAGGCATATTGCCTTTCACCACAGTCGATACTTACACGCCTGTGAGTAAGATTTCCTACTTGTTATAGACATTTTCCACTGCATTTCATGGTTTTTCATCATTCTGCGTAGAGAGTCGATGTTGTTTAATTATCCATTGCGCTCGAAGCAAATTTTTGTATTTGTATCTGCTTTGCTGGAAAAACGCACGCACACGCGCACACACACGCACGCACGCGCACTCCCCCTACACCCACATACTCAAACGCACGCACGCACATACGCAGGTGTGCGCACGCACATGCACACGCGCACACACACGCACGCACCCTACACCCACATACTCAAACGCACGCACGCACATACGCAGGTGTGCGCACGCACATGCACACGCGCACACACACGCACTCCCCCTACACCCACATACTCAAACGCACGCACGCACATACGCAGGTGTGCGCACGCACATGCACACGCGCACACGCGCGCACTCCCCCTACACCCACATACTCAAACGCACGCACGCACATACGCAGGTGTGCGCACGCACATGCACACGCGCACACGCGCGCACTCCCCCTACACCCACATACTCAAACGCACGCACGCACATACGCAGGTGTGCGCACGCACATGCACACGCGCACACGCGCGCACTCCCCC